AATTAGAGTAGAAAAAGATGAACCAAAAGCAGTTGAGTTATATCAGAGTGCAAGCACGTTTGTCAATGCAAGTTGAAATATTATTATAGCAAAATGGGTTGAATCGGCCTTTGACATTAGTTATGTAACTGACTTGTGTCAATCAAAAGCTACAATAACAAATGAAATCCTTATGCACTCTTGGCCGTATTATGAAAATGGAATTGGGGTAGAACCAGATATTAAAAAGGCACTTGAGTTATATGAAAGAGCAGCTGAAAAGGGATATAGTAAAGGTGTATGCATTTTATGAAAATGGGTCAGAAATAGAGAAAAAAAATAAGGGAGAAGATTGAGATATGTCTAGTATAGAGCCTTAGTACTAGATATCATAGAGACTGTACTAATATCATTTGAAATGATTTGATTATCTATTTTGAATATTGAATAGCAAGTGTAGTAATAATTTCATAATAAAGATATCTCAGTTATGTTCTGTATGGAATACAAGTGTTATCATAGGAGTGTATTGTGTTCTAAATTTGACTGATGTTCTCAATTATTCTTGAAGGCAGTCTTTTATCCCTTCTATATCCTATCGCTAAGGCATAAACTCACACTTGTATGACTATTTGATAAATGAAACCTCCAATAGTATTATACTTGACCGGGGGATATTCTTCAATTAAGGCGTCAGCTAATGTCGTGGTCGGAATATTAATGCGTTTGAATATACAAAAACAAATCAACCAATCAAATGGCCTCATGCTAATCTAACAACAAGCCAACGAACAAACATTGTTGCTATGCTACCAACGAACCACTGATTAACCCCAATGTCTTCCAATAACGGCGCCCCTAAGGTTTACAAGCTAATTCTTGATGATCCAGAGTCGCCAGAAAGGGAATCGTCGTCAAAGAAGACAAAAAAAAGTAAAAAAAGAAAAAATTTACGCAAGAAAAATAATACACCGAATGCCTGGGAGAGTGACGAAGATAGTGGTACCAAGAGGAAAAAGAAACGAGAAGAACCGCGAAAAGTGGAAGGTAAGTGCAGCGATCTGACTTTTAACACCTTTATTTTAACTGCAATGTGCCTGCTCACCTGATCCATTACGTTACCACAGAATCAGAAGACGAATATGAAAAAGCTATCAAGGAGGATGAACAAGACGAAAAGGAACGAGAGGAATTTGCCAGGCGCTTGCGAGAACGAGATGACGCTAGAACCAGAAAGGTAAAAAAAAAAACAAGAGGAGAACAAAAAATCGCGTCGAGTTTTCTTGCATTAATGTCGATTCACTTTGACTTTAGATAGCCGAAGATCGCTCAGCAATACCTGGTAGCGAAACAGCAAGAAGAAGGAACCTGGCCGATGATCCTGACTCCAGGAAGCAAGTTCTACCGAGTATTCGCGAGAGGTCACGTCAGGAATATCTCAAGATGCGTGTTGAGCAACAGATGATGTTGACGAAACAGGATGTGCTTGATGAAGAGCTCCTGTTTAAGAATCAAAAGCTTTCCAAGAAGGAAAAAAAGGAACTCGAGTTAAAGAGAGAGACGTTAAACTTGGCTGAGGAAAGGCTGAAATTATCCAGGAAAACTGATGAGTATATAATGCCAGAAGGTTTTGATTTTTCACTTTTTTCATTTTCGTGTTTTTGCCTGTTTGTCTACCAGGAACCGTACATTTATTTCCATGTCATTGATTACTTTAAGATTATATTACTGAGAAAGGAAAGATTGATAAAAGGAAAAAGGAACAGGCTCTGTATCAACGTTACGAAGAGAAGCGTGATAATCAGTTCTTTTCCACGGAACAGGAACAGTGGGAATCAAATCAAATAGCGAAATCAAGTCTAAATGTAGGAGCCCAGGATCGTCAAAAGGGCGATAATTATGAATATGTCTTTGACGAAAAAGAATTCAATTGGGACGATTGGGAACCCGAGATACATGATGAAGAGGCGGCTTTTCGTAAGAGAGTCGAGGAAGAGGAGAAAAGAGGTAACAAACGATACCCAGATCCATGTTTTGCTATTCGTGTTTTTCGACAACTTGTCATGTCCTAGTTTTAACGATGGCCTGTTACTCTACTTGATAGTCCAAACAATCCAAGAAGTCCGTCAAACTCTTCCGATATATTCGTTCCGGGAACAATTGCTTCAAGCAATTGAAGACCATCGCGTGTTGATAATAGTTGGTGAGACCGGTAGCGGTAAAACAACACAGCTTCCGCAATACCTTGTTGAAGCAGGGTATACAAAAGACGGTCGTAGGGTTGGTTGTACTCAGCCAAGAAGAGTTGCTGCGATGAGTGTAGCAGCACGTGTTGCTGATGAGATGGGTGTACGGCTTGGACATGAGGTACGATGCTTGGAGATTTGAGAGAGAGAATTTGTTACAAGGGGGAAATGATTATTAATTGATTGCATTCTTTGGGTTCTTTTTCACAGGTGGGATATTCAATCCGTTTCGAAGATTGTTCCTCAGAGAAGACTGCGCTTAAGTATATGACAGATGGTATGCTGCTTAGAGAGTTTATGACAGATCCTCTTTTGTCAACTTATAGTTGCATGATCATTGACGAAGCACATGAGAGGACATTGCATACTGATGTATTGCTTGGATTAGTAAAGGTACGAACAATAACAGTAATGTTGAGTTTGTCGACATGGTATTTGGTGATCACATGGCTAATAAGGTTTCTTTGTCTTATAAAGAGAATAATGCATGCGGAGACCAATCTGAGGCTCATAATATCTAGTGCAACATTGGATGCCCAGAAATTTGCTAGGTATTTTCGAGTAGGAGACGAAGAACCGCCGATATTTCATAGTAAGTTCTGACGATTTGCATTGTTTTGTGGGCGATGATAAGTACTCACCTATTTAATTTTTGTTATTTTAGTCCCTGGACGTATGTTCGAGGTCAAGAAATACTATACAAAAAATCCAGAAGCCAATTACATACACGCTGCCATAGGAAAAGTTATGGAACTTCATATAAACCCATTAGTACGGGGAGACATATTAGTTTTTTTGACTGTACGTGTTGATTTATTTCTGCGCTGATGATTTACAGAACCATTACTAAGCTGTTTACTCAATGATCAGGGACAAGATGAAATAGAGTATGTACAACAAAACCTGGAACACGCGCGAAGCATACTTGGGTCTAAAATAAGCGCTTTAGACATATGTCCAATATACGCAAATCTACCGCCTGATTTACAAGCAAAAATCTTTGAACCAACGCCGCCTAATGCACGCAAAGTTGTCTTGGCAACGAATATTGCCGAGACGTCAGTTACGATAGACGGCATAGCATATGTTATTGATTCCGGATATGTCAAGCAAAACTTTTATAGCCCAAAATCTCGTATGCAGTCATTAGAAGTTGTCCCGGTGAGTTTCATTGATGCATTAGATGCATAAATTTGCAATGTTTTCTGGATTTAATTTAATTCTTAATTTCTATTACAGTGTTCTAAAGCTTCAGCTGAACAACGAGCAGGTCGGGCAGGACGTATTGGACCCGGCTGGTGTTTTAGGTTGTACACCAAGTATATATTTGAGAAAGAAATGCCATTTGATGCGATGCCTGAAATACAAAGAACCAACCTGGCAAATGTGATTTTGTTATTGCAGGTGAGACTTTCTATTAATTGGTTGGGTCAGCTAGAGAAATCAAAATTCAACCATTTGTGTCTATTTCTATCCTTAGACGATTGGTGTTAGAGATATAATGCAATTTGAATTTATGGATCCACCCCATACTGATTGTATCGTCCAAGCGATGAATGAACTACTCGAATTAGAAGCTCTTCGACAGGGCGCAGATGGCAAACCACGATTAACTAAACTTGGACAAAGAATGGCTGAATTTCCACTAGATCCAATGCTGTCAAAAGTCATATTGGAGTCGGAGAAATACCACTGCTCGGAAGAAATTATATCCATGATCAGCATGCTTACTGTTCAGGGGTCTATATTCTATATGCCAAAAGAGAAGAAAGTTGCGGCTGACATGGCAAAACAAAACTTTTATCGACCAGGCGGTGATCATTTCACTTTGCTTAACGTTTGGAATCAAGTAAGAAATAATTAAATATGCAATTCAGCATTACATTGGGGGGTTTTTTTTTTTTTTACTTTGATTTTAATTTATATATTCTATTTTGGTTTCCGTGATATAGTGGGTTGATTCCGATTATGACAAGCGCTGGTGTCATGATCACTTTATTGTGCATCGATCCCTGATGCGGGCGAGACTTGTTAGAGAACAGCTAGCTGCCTTGTGCGAACGTGCCGAGGTACCACTGGAACGGAACCCAGACCCGGGCGACATAGTCCCGATGCAGAAGGTAACCAATCATAATGAGTGACCCCCAATTTATGAATCTTCTAACACTTGCGAATTATTTCATAGTCTATACTATCTGGATTTTTTATGAACGCTGCGCGATTATCTTTATCTGGTCAGTCATATACGACTACGAGACCCGGAAGTTCACAGACAGTTAAAATACATCCTGGTAGTGCGCTGTTTAAGGTTAATCCAAAATTGGTGATATTCTTCGAACTCGTAAAAACAAGCGAAGAATTTATGCGACAAGTTATGGAGATTAGACCGGAATGGTTATTGGAAAGTAAGTTGTAGTGAATTTATCTGGTGTTGACCTCTTTTTAGTTTGAATTGCTCAATGTTCCAACATCTTCACTTGTTTAATAGTTGCACCGAGCTACGTTCCTCAGTCATTGCTTCGTGAAATTGATTCAAAGCGTGTTCCCAAGATGCCAAAACAAGTTGGCATGGGTCGTCGACATCCAAACGACTTGGGCTAAATTACGACGGATATATTTGGTAAAGGAATATCGTCCGTTACCCAATAGATATAGAATTTAGACAATATTTTTTTGCACTAATACACAAACACTAGTTTATTAAAGAATTATTTTAATTTCATTAGAGCATTATACAGATATGTGAGCTTTATCAATATTATTGGCCATCCTGAATTAATCCGTCCTGTTATCAGCATACCGCTCTATGCCCCGTAAGAACCCAAGCATTGTCAATCCATGGGGCACATTCACAAATTGGACGCCAAGCTGATGTTGTACATCATTATTTCGCATTTCATCGTCGAAGAATATCATATTCTCATATGGAATGTCAGAGTCCTTGTGCATTTTCTTAAAGTGTCGTACTTTTGAACTTGGGTATATCTCTGAATAGTCGAAAAAGTCTGATAGAGTGGTTTTCTGTGATTCGTCCGATGCATCGTTTGAAGGAAAAGGCATTATGGATACAACATCTCTTGCCCTATGCGACCGTATGGTGGTGGAAGAGGAGAATGCACATGTTAAAATCGCATCGGGCCTGAACAATAACGTAGTAGTAGTGTGCAATACAAGACATACCATGTTGGTTCCGAAGTCCGAGATGCCAATCCCATCTTAATATCGGGAAAGTTTTTAACTAAGTTTAATATGGCAGGTATATCTTCGTAAAGTTTGATCTCATTTCCTCGTCTACATTAATCATATGGGCACTTATTAACAACGAGAGCAAGGCCGAAACATGATTCTTCAAAAGATTGTTGATATGACCTGTCGCTGACAGTGTAAGGACGTGAGGGATCTGCTGTGAAAGGAGGTCCAGAGACATGCGTATCAATCCTAGGGCGAGAATTCAGGTTGAGAAAACCAATGTCAAAGGAGGAGGGTTGTCTTTCTACAATACAATGCAAAGCGGAACTCACCATAACGGCCATATCGTATAATCCAGATCCAACACAATTAGAGAAGGCAGTTTGTTGGCAGCATTCAATTTCTCAAATAATTCCATAGCGACCCCGTCGTTTTATCTAATAAACTAGTGTCAAAAAAAGAAAAAGAAAAAAAATCGGGAACGAAAAGTGGACAAGAAGTTTATTTATACAAGTCAATGAAATAGCTGTTGTTACGTACATACATACATTTAAATAATGGAATTTATTATGGGGATGTTTGTGGTTGTAGTTTTGTGGGTGGTTGTGGTTGAAATTGTCACATTTTGGGTATATTGATATGACTATAAAAATAAATCTGTGTACCAGCAAAAGACCTGCGTTTGTAGCCCACAGATACATATACACAATTGTCCAGTGTATAAATATATAAATATATACATATATACATATACTGCGTAGCCTTTGTTGGTCGAAAAGGAGGAGATTTGAATGTTCTTTTTTTATGATTCCTAAAACATCACATAATTCGGCATGAGGGATGGGTTTCATCTTAATTTGACACGGGTGACCATTGAGTATTATAGAGCTTATATTCGCAATCAAATTTGTGATACAAGCATAAACAGTATATTAATATAAATATGTATTAGTTTAAAGCTTAAACGTAAAAGTCTCGATGTTGTCGTTATTATTATTATTATTATTATTATTATTATTATTATTATTATTATTATTTATTGTTGCTTCTGCCGTTCTTTCTATCTACGTTAACAAGTAAACTGTTTGTCTACTGATGCTTGCTTCTATGAAGCTATTCGTCAGTTGCCGTCATTCCAAGGAGATGATCATCGTTTCGATCTACATCATTGTTATGTGCCATGTATAATAGATAATGAGCCAACGATTATTGTTATTCGGCGTTTACATGAACTTCCGGGTTTCGGACTATGCGATCTATCTAAATCAGGCGATCGTAAGGGGTTCGTAGGACTAAATTACAACTTATAGTTGACTAGCTATGATTGGTGAAGGAAGAGAAGAGAGAAAAAAAAAATAGACTGTATAATTATAATAACTGTAATCCGCAGCACTAAAGTAACTTTTTTTATACATGATAAATTGTTCATTGTGAATAAGCCACGATACCATTTGCACGTGATGGCTATACATAGACAGGTTACCGTATTATCTTTTCATACAAATTCAGTTTTACTAATTTGGATACTAATATACTTGATTTCGTTTCATGTCTTCAGGTTTGTCATTTCTCTTTTAAAAGAAAAGTTAATAATTGCCGGAACACTAAATTATTAACCAGAGAGTATAGAAATTAACAATAAGATAACGATGATATACTTGATAACCCTTTTTTTTTCCCTCCTCTATACGATTCTTTTTTTCACACGCCACATAGCTTTATCGGCAAAGACGCATGCTCATTTTTAGATCGGCGGAGTGATTAAGAATGTACTTTTCTTTGTTGGTCATTGTTCTCTCCTCCATTAAACATTTTAAGGAATAAAAGGTTTTTTTTTATTCGTTTCCCCCCCCCCCGTCTAAGTCTGCTAATTTTGTCAATTGTTTGAGTTGTTTGATAATAGGAGTGAAATTGCATTGACAATTTCGATGCAAAAAAGGATATACTGTTATTATGTAATACGTGGTCAAAGCTATGTACCAATTACGAAATGGCAACTCTTTATTATTTTGAATACTTAACACATGAAAGTTTCCTTAGATGTAACCATACGCAGTAATGGCGAGCTCGTCATTCGTCGTACCTTTCCGCTTTATTGCAACACATACACAATGAATGCCCCAGTAGATGTCGATTAGATTTAGGTATTTATCAGTAGCACAAGCTGGATGGAGCATTGTCTTTTAAGAGATTTTGCATGTACAACTATTAAACGAAACGTTAAATTTTTTGTACCAAAGCCATGAACGAATGACAGACGTTGACGACAAGCGGCAGCTTCTCTAAATAACGACGTCAAAACCATGAATTAGGTACTGTACATTTGGTACAAGGGAGCAAATTTGTTTGATTATTATAGTGATATATATTGGTCACTTATTTTTAGTGTTAAAACTAACTTTTTGCATAACTAATTGTTACCAATTGTGAATTGGAATACATGTCTCGCAAATTATCCATTGGTTAAGTGATATAAGTTAACATTAACAAATATCGTCATTATTATAGTTTTTGGCGCGCAGGAGGTTGACGAAATCGTTGTTTGATTCGATAAATCAACAGTAACTAGCAATAGTAATCGTAAATACTATCACGACAGCACCAATGCAAGGAGACGTGTTGTCTTCCACATACTTCTGAGTATGCAAGGGCGAACCGACTGTAGATCAGAAGCAACGACAGTTTATCATTCGTCTAGAACGTCAACAGAGAACAGTCGCAGCCCAACATTGGAAGTGCCACATTACCCTTTTATACTATACTAGGCCACAATTTTGCTACAGAAACTCGCGCGTTGTTTATTAAGAATTCATAGTCGGGACAAACATCGAAATTTTTATTATAAAACAGCAACAATTCAGAAAAAACATAATCAATCAGCACAACACATGAATATTGATAAATAAATATAACGTAACATCTTTCACCAAAAACGCTCTACAAAAAATGTTCACATTCACAAGCAAACTCTTTATTGGCTTATTCTTTGTTCATTGTTACTGTAAATAGCATCATTTGTAATGGCCAACTTCACCTTGACTAAGACACAACTAATAACGAAACTGTCTACGGCAAACAAATTTTATTCACCAGATATTGAAACATTGTTGGAACGAGCTGTTGCTTCCATGATAAGAAATTTCTACTTTCGAAGAGGGACCCTCCCATTAGACCAATTCAATGTTGGATTGACAAAGTAAAGAAGAAAATGTAAATAATGAATATAAAAAAATAATAAAAGCGCAATAATAACGATAATAAAGATAGTAATAGTAAATTTTAAATTTAAACCAGAGTGACCAATTGGGTCTGAGTATTTTTCTCCTATGCAATCGCTCTGGTGGCCTTCAAATTTGTTTTAATACAGCCAATACCGACAAAATACATCAATTATCGTAAATTATCTGATTTATTTTTTGCATTTATATTCGAGCTCTTTAATCAATTTTAGAATTAGCAAGGTTTTTCGTATCAGTAAAATATTATAAGATATAAAACGGTGTTTGTAATTTAAAAGCACAGTTAGAGTTTTTATATATTTGTTAGACCAAATAAAAAAATAACTCGCAAATTGCCCCAATTTAATGACAACATGCAATGTTTCTAAGGCCACAATTCACAATACAATATGCAAGCGTGCATTTTTACAGACAATGAGACCATTGTTGAGAGAATAGCTCGAATGCTGTAGTATAGCATAGTTTACGAGGGTTTTTCTCGTTACCACTCATCACGTGTTCCGTGATTAATATCTTTGTATTTGAACATGTCCTATCATACGATACTAGTCAACGTCTATACGAATATTCCCGAAATGTAATTTTTCAGAGAGAGGTGCAAAGGCATAACCGAGTCAAGTGGTAAATTATTCATACTCTGCGTAGCATTGTACATTATTCGTTTACCCTGTCTGACTTAATAGTGATTCTCTGCGCAACATTAATACATTATCTTCAGCGGTAGAATTCCAAGATAACTCTGGAGAACAGTGCTTTACCATAGACTGAAATGCTTATAAAAGTATCATCATTATCCCCCTGACTTAGTAAATGCCTAACAATTACAATTGTGCGCTCTGCAGCTGACATGAGTCGTCGCCTAGTTACGACGTTCATCCATACTACAGGTCTATAGGCGACGGCTAAGTCTGTATTCGAGTTATTTCTCATTGATAATAAGCGGGATGTGTTTTACCGCATGCTTCACCGTTTCAACCGTATAGACTTATCGTGCCGTATATGTAGTCATATCCAATAACCAGCGTATCTTCACGTTACTCACTGAAACCAAACGCGTCTTCTATTGAAACAAATGATATCAACATAGCATGACCTTTATAATAACAAAGTAAGAAATCACGTTGACAATTCACATTAGCAATAAATAGGAGTGTTAATGCGTTTTTGATAAGTCATTAACCGCATTCCGACAAGCACCAAAGTCGTTGTGTCTTCAGTTGTGTCGAATTTCAGTGGAGTTTGAATAAAAATCAATTGTGGATAATATCATTTTTCATAATAATAGAGTTGTATTGACAATATATAACACAAACGGTATCACAAGCGTTTGACAAAATTCATCGTTTACATAGTGTTACGGTCGGATGGTCTGGGGTTTGGGAGAGCAATTAATCTTTCGCGTAAGGGTGTTCTTTCGACCGGGGGATGTTACCAGATTAGCTTCGTGCTCGGTAGATGTTCAATTAAGACTGAATTCTAATCTACAAGTGACCTATTTATATAATTAAATTAAATGCGCGCTTTTC